TGGTTCTCATCCGCTGGGAACATGAATGAATCGGCCAACTTGCTCATGGAAGCAGCATCTGAGTAGGTCGATGTAAAGGCTGGGATACTAAAAGTAAGCATCTCAGTCTTCTCATCCAAGACCACCACCTTGGATGACCCAACCTTGGTCGCAGCTGGCTATCTGGGTGGAGTCACAACCACATCTTTCACACTCCTCTCCTCCCTGGTCAAAGAGTCTTTTTTTTTTTTCTCTTTTTGTGATGCCTTGCGATAGACTCACTCGCGCTCAGGACGATAAACTTCTTTATAAGCCTCTCTGCAATCATAAATTTCTTAATAGTTAATGGGTTCAGGCTTGACTTACCAAACAGAATATGAGTGTAGTAGCGAATGAGCAACACACTCCAAGTCTGCTTCAACGAAGGGAAATGGATACCTCTCTGAATTGCCCAAACTCCAGCCCACAAGTGACTCGCCCTCAAATTCGCCTTATCTAACACTACTCGCCAATCTCTCTGCTCCCTGGGAATGGCAAGAACATTTATGGTCTACACGTCCAAATCTTCCCCACTCTATCCAGCCCGATTGAAATCAAGATCTGCAAAGGAAAAACAAAATAAGACTTTAATCAAAACAAGAGTAAAGATTAAGTTCCTCACCAGTCGCCCGCAAGGTAGGGATCTCGCCCTGGCCTCTCTCTCCGAGGATTACTTCACCCCTCAAGAAGAAAAAGCGTTCCTTCCAGCTCTTGTCACTTGACCGAAGGTCAGTCACAAGATGGGTCCAGTCATGCCTGAGAGTGACTATGTATCTACCCTTATCTTTGTCGCTCTCCTTCAGGAAATAGGAATACAACAACTCGTGCAGTCTGAACATCACTTGATTCTACACGCAGAGAACCTCTAACGTCATCAGCAACCTCCACCCATTTGGCATGATCTGAGTCAGCACAATCATAAAATGATTCAAAACCTTACAGACAAGGCGAGGTATCGGAAGCCTCAACCCATCATGGAACCACTTCTCATAAGCACTCACCCAATCTCTTGCCTCCTAGTCGACCCTCTTGTACGACTTAGGAACTCTAACCTCAATTGGCTCTAGAATATGGTAAATAATCCTAATCCGCCTCACATCGTTCTCCTTCAGTAAGGACGGATAGCCCTTATTAAGTATCTCGTTGTCGGGCCGACTCGGCTTGTCCTCGAAGCCACCATTGGCAAAAGGTGAACTCTTGGAATCGTTAGTTTCGTCGGAATCTTCCCAACTTGTCCCTTGCTCGTCTGGATCATCATCACTTGCAGCAGCACTGCTCAACCCAAAAGCAGCCACATTCACCCCCTTTGGTATGCCGACCGGAACATCTCCACTCTCTAGCATCACTACCATCGTTGGGGCCTTCTTGTATTTATTCCCAACTTCCATCTCCGCCCCACTCGAGTCACCCGACTCTGACTGCGATATTCAACTCCTTATCTACTCGACCCGGGCAACCAATTGGTTCTCCAATGCCAAATCTTATATTCAGTTTCAAAAGCTCTACTCGCCTAGAGCGACTGACTGACTGGCTGTAAAACCAATCTGATTGTTTGCCTTTAAGAAGCTTTTGGCTCGGTTAAGACGACCGAGTACCTACTACCTCAAGACTCCCCGTTCAAATCCTTTTCCATCGATCTGGGAGACCGAGAGACCTACGTGACTTAGCACTTACCAAAAAACCAAACTTTTTCACTCAAACCACCTCACTCGACCCAGTCAAGCAGACCGAGACGACCCGAATGGGAAGCCAACATAAATCGATTTCATCTTATGTCCTCCCTAAACCTAGAAAACCCAGAACCTTCAAACGTAGACCACACCAAATCGATCCTAAACACACAAAACCTCCTGAACGTCAAACCAAAGAATCAAATCGCCACCAAATCTACCCCGTTCAAACCAAACAAACGCAGCACCTCCTCTTTTTCAAAGTCTCCTAAAAAATCTACCAAACCTTACCCAAATCCTTTCAAAAATACTGCAAACACAAAGAAAGGACGGAAGGAAACGAAAAACAACACAAGGAAGTAGTATTTACCGTGAAAATGGCCAAAGTCTCCGAAATCTTTTCGCTGCTGCAGAGAAAAGCTGAAACAAGGAGAAAACGGGAAGAAAAAAGAGAAAAATGGAATGGAATGAAACGAACAGTCACCTCAACACTTTTATTGACAAAAGCTATCAAAATTTACTCGTGGCAACCTCCGATTGGTCATCAAACAGTGTGACTCCATTTTCCCGCCCAAACTTAGAAGAGAGATCTTGGTCGTACATGTGTCAAAAGATGAATTATTCAGCTTCACATTAACTATCCAGGGTTCGCGACCGCCACATTGTGCATATACCCTTGGAAATGCTAACCACTTGCTCGGTTCGCCCGACCGAGTGGAGTTAACGTCGGACGTACTAACTATTTAACCTCGACTCTCCAACCTCATGACAAACACAGCCAAAGCAAAACACAACCTCCACCTTCTCAGTCAGCCCGATCGAGTGAACCAGCCACTTGCTTGGGAGTGCGCATACATGACTCACTCAGATTCAACCGATTAGCTGAAAGGCACGTCTACCAGAGTGATCCTAACACATCTCTACTTGGTTCGATGTACCAATTGGGACACCTTCAGGAGAACACATCATTTCACTTGATTCGATGTGTCAAGTGAGGACACCTTCAAAGGATATGTTTCACATCGTTTCACTTGGTTCGATGCACCGAGTAGGGACACCTTCATGAAAACTCGCGACTTCCACTCACTCGGTTCGATGCACCGAGTGAAACCTCTATGGTCAGTTCTACTTTCTCACTCGATTATGTATGTTAAGTGAGAGCACGTTTATGTTTCACCTCCATTTATCCACTCGGTCTGGTATACCGAGTGCGTTACCTACAATGAAAGTTATACTATTCTGTTCTGCGAACCAAGGAGCGGCACCTTCACATGTTCAACCATTCGGTCACGAAGGACGACTGAGTACACCTTCACGCAACATCTACTCTCTAAGCTAAGCACTCCTTAACTTAGAGAGTGGGGGGTAAACTGTTAGGGCCAAAAAATGCCCTCGACCTCAATAAGCCCAAAAACGAAGACACCTTCAACAAAGCTTAAAGTCGTGGCCCAATATCGATTGGGCCCACAACAAAGTTCGCATATTGGGTTCGCTCATTACACTTACCATGTTGCTCACTACCTAAGCCCAATCAATAAAGGCCCTGATTCGTTTAGGCCTCATTATCAGCTTGTCTAGGCCCAGGCCCATTGATTCAAGATCATCTACTGGATTTAGGGTTTACTTAGACCACAAGGTTGCCTACTTCCTATTTTGGTACTCTATTCTACCGAAGAGATCCATTACTATCCTAATCGATATGAGATTCACATCTTAGACCAACTAGGACTCATTTTCCCACTAAGGTAAGGGAGTCAAAGGCTCTCCTTTTTTACTAAACATCAACTCTCAAGGACTCACAGTCCTACTAGGACTCGAAGATCCTACAATTGCTATTTGAACAAGAGGCCAGTCCTCTCACAAAGGAGGACATTACACCTTCTAACCCCGTAGTTCCCACTCTTGAGAACTTTACACCACAGCCGTAGTTATAGTCTCTGAGTAAACTTCTGGTAACTTTCTCTTTCCCTAACCCTCACTAAATTAGCCTCATTCAGCCTTACTGACTTGAGCGTCAGAGTGCCTACGACAAACACCAACCCGGTGTTTTTTGTTCGCTTCACACTTGTTTTCTTGCGTGTGCAGGTACAGCGGATTACTGGTGGCCTCAACCTCACGAGATCATACCCTATTTCCGTAACGGTAGATTTTTTGCATCTATAGATATATAATTTGGTGGTCTTTAACTTACGTTATAAAAGTAAAAATTTAAATTATAATGATATTAATGTATAAAAGATATATATATTTCTTTGTAATTTTGTAAACAATATATATATATATATATATGTAGGAGCCAGATTTGAGAAGGCATTAGCTTTTGGGTTGAAGATCGGTAAACTTAAAAGTCATGATAAGTCTATTTAGCAAGTCGTATAAGAAATAAAGGCTCCGTTTGGTAGAGAATTTTTTAGTATTCTATCTAAAACACACATTTATTCTCTTATTCTAAAAATATTATTCTATATTATTCACTTTCTTTTAAACCCCCTAAATTTGTTAATTTAACTAAACAACCCAAATTTTTTTTAGAAATTGACAAAAACACCCCAGCAACCCACATTTACCAAATTCCGGCCACCATTGCCGGAAGTTGGTATAATAGCTTACTACCGACTGAATCTGGCCGGTAGTGCACCGATCTAGCTTTTTCGGCCAGATAATCTGGCTGGAAAAGGTCAAATCTACAGCCGGCCAGATCTTTGGCCATAGCTAGTCGTCAACGAAGGCTGTATCTTTGGCCGTCGTTGACCACCAAATGCGGCCAGATCTTACCATCAATGGCCAGTGATCAACAAACGGCCAAGATATGGCCGTCGTTGACCATCAATGACAACCGTATCTTTGGCCGTCGTTGACAACCAATTACGGTCAGATCTGGCCGTAAAGCCATATCGACGTACAACCGGCCAGATCTAACCGATCGTGCACCAATACGACGACTCCGGCCACCCTCCAGTGATGGTAGTCAGCTGTCCATGCTTAATGTGTGGGTTAGGAGTATATTTTTGTTCATTTCTAAATCCTAAATCGTAATACCTACTCAATTTTATTTTTTTCAAAATATTATTCTAAAAAATATCAGAATAATGAATCAAACCGACCTGAAGAAATTAAGAATGTTGTTAAGAGTTGTAATAGTAATAATAAAAATTCCCGGCCCAACCCAATAAGTATGTCTACGTGTAACTTGTGGTGGATATTTGTGATCAATCCAGAATCACCCCTTTCCCTCCACAAAAATACCAGAAAAAACTAACCATAAAACCAAATCCCAATTAAAAAAAAAAAAAAAAAATTATTCAGACAAAAATTGGAAACGAGTGGTCTAAATTAGAAGCATATTCAGGGAAAAGAATCCCAGTCTTTGCCCCCACAAACTGCAAGCAGAGCCGAGAGCTCACTCTGCAGAAACATGGCCACGGTTGCCTCAGGAAGTACTACTTTAGGACTCATTAGTCCCCGTACTCTCAAATCAAAACCCCCATCCTCATCCCCATTTTTTGGCAAAAAACTGAAACTAAAATTAACCAAACCCTCTTCAAAAATTAACACTATCTCAAACATTGTCAAGTCAAAAGTTGAGTTGCTTGATGCAGTTCGCGATCTTGTTGTTGGTGTTGGAGTGGGGTTACCGTGCACAGTGATGGAGTGTGGTGATTTTATATACCGTAGTACTTTGCCCAAGTCCAATGGGCTAACTGTTACTGCCCCTGGAGTAGCTCTGGCTCTTGGTGCTATTTCTTACCTCTGGGCCACCCCTGGTGTGGCTCCTGGATTTTTTGACATGTTTGTGCTTGCTTTTGTTGAGAGGTTATTTAGAACTACTTATAGGAAGGTCTGTGATTTTCTGTTTCTTTAATTTGTAGTTTTTAGCTGTTTATTTGGTTCATTAATACTTTTGGTTTTGGTGGCAGGATGATTTTGTTCTAGGGAAGAAGTTGGGTGAGGGAGCTTTCGGTGTAGTTTACAGGGTATCCTTGGCTAAGAACCCTTCTTCCAAGGTATGGAATGTCTGATAAGATAATTAACTTTCACTTTAATAAGTTAATTAAACTATGATTGTATGAATGTAATTTATTTGAATTGAATTTTTATAGATTCTTTACGCACTAGTCCTGTAGAGAATTGATTTTTTTTTTTTTTTTTTAATTGGCTTTAAATGATAAGAGATGAAAACAATTTTTAATGCTTTCTATATGATGCTTTCCTCTGACAGTTTGGTAATCTAAATTTTTATTAAGTAGATAATATATTATGCTAATTTATAGTTTTTGGCCGTGACCAGAAGGAAGGTGACTTGGTATTGAAGAAGGCTACCGAATATGGTGCAGTGGAAATTTGGATGAACGAGCGTGTACGAAGAGCTTGTGCAAATTGCTGTGCTGATTTTCTATATGGCTTTCTTGAGGTGTTGCTCTATTATGATTACTTCTACCATTGATGTATTAAGGGTATTATTATCTCAAGAAGTTAATAAATACACTTTGATAGTCTATGCCGATTTATGTTTTCTTATTTTCCCTTTCTTGTGCTTAGAATTGTTGTTGTGGAATTGGTTTCAGAGTTCATCAAAAAAAGATGGTGAATACTGGCTTGTATGGAAGTATGAAGGAGAGGCCACACTTGCAGATTTGATGCTAAGTAGAGAGTTTCCCTACAATGTTGGTACTTCCTCTCATCAGCCTTTTATGTATTCTATAAGCTGTCAGAGTTAATTCTTTCGTTCATTGACCCAAGGAATATTTTGTCAAACCTACCATGCCAAGTCTGAGAAATTCATGGCTTAAATCTTTTCAGAAAACCATTCATGTTTCCAAAGATGTTATTGCAGCATTCTGAGTTGGCCTTCTCGTTACCTGGTCAAACTGTTGTTCTTTCCCCTCTGAGATTAGATGAAACTACCTTTTTCTAAAAGAAATATGTTGTTATTGAAATGCGAAGAGCTTTCCATTTAAATTTGTTTCTTCCTTTTGACAATGCTGCAACAAATCAATCTTGGTTCAATTTAGCTTCACAAATACCAACTATAGTGATGGTTCAAACGTCAGGTAGAAACTATGATTCTTGGAGAGGTCCAGAACTTGCCTAAGGGAATAGAAAGGGAAAATAGAATCATTCAAACTATCATGAGACAGGTCCTGTTTGCATTGGATGGCCTTCATTCGACAGGGATTGTTCACAGGGATATTAAGCCACAGAATATTATTTTCTCAGAAGGTAATAAAATCCAATCCTCATATTAGTCAATGAAAAAGATGAATGAGTTTGATTTTACTAAGGTTCGTAGCTTCTTGCTGCCATTTGAAACACGCCAGGTTCTCGTACCTTCAAGATCATTGATCTTGGAGCCGCAGCAGATTTGCGAGTGGGCATAAACTATATTCCAAAGGAGTTTCTTTTGGATCCAAGGTATGTTCTTTCCTGTTACATGCTATGAGCAACTGTCTGATAACTGACTTGAGGAAAACTGTTACCAGTTATATGTTTATCAGCAAAGAATTTCCCAGTAATTGACGTCCTCTATCAAATAAATAAATGTGTCTTTAATTTTTCTGCTGTTAATTGCTTGGTAATTTCTAGAACATTTAAAATAGTTTTATTGAAGTCAATCTTTTTCCGCCTTTTTTAACTTCAGAGACTTAATTGTTTAACTTATAATTGTTTAGGGACAGTGTTTAGGTTTTAAATGTGTCGCTGCAGTTGGCCAACATGTTGTGTACTAGATTGTGACAATGCGAGGTCATTAATCCAAGAGATATGCTGAGAATACTATCTTTCTCACACTTGCTTCTTGACACATGTACAAGAGACAAATTAAAATTATGCTGTCAACTTTTCGCTTTGTCTCTTGTATACATGTCAAAAGGAGAGTGATAGATTGTGGAAGAAAGTGTGAAAACAGAGTGTCCTGGCATTCCTCTAAATCCAATGCTCAATAAATGTGTCTTAATTTGAATTTTATATCCAAGATAAATTTTGATTATCAATATCTATATCAAATATGACAGATACAAGGACATGACATTGGAAAAGACTGTTAGGTCGATTACTTATTAAAGCCTTTTTCTTTCTCCTTGGCATCCTAGAAAAGTGTACAGACAATTGAATAGGGTGTAAGAACTCATCAAATTGAGCATGTTACTTGACATCATCAATGCTATTCCAGTTACTAATTGGAATATGGAGAAATTGGAACTATAACGTAAGGAAATGAAACGAGGGTTTAATATAACAATCCAAGATGCCATAATTTGAAATATGAATTGAACACAACTATATGAAGTTGTGTTTGGATGGCATGGTTTGGTGTGCTACATGCTTGTGCATCAAAAGGAAATGAGAAAAAAGTATTAAACGAAATCAGTTATTTGCTGTGGAAACATGATGGGACAGTTTCAAAGAAAAATGAACAACAACGGCTTATACAGTATTCATGGAAATATAAACAACCTATGGTTGCCACTTGCTAGTTCCAGTATTCTCACTGCTCTTTTCCAGGTTTTGAAATTCAATTCTAGGAGAAAGGTGAAATGTTTTTAGAGTTAAGTGGTTTGAAACAAATGGAGGAATAACGGTTCAGTTTCATTTTCTAGTACAATTCTACTTGTACATGATTGTTGACGACAGGTGCCACTTAGATTCAAATACAAAACACAAATGAAAAAGTTTGTAGTTGTCTGATATACAAGCATTTCATCATTTAGCAAAATCACCAGCTATTCTATTTTAGCATGATATCTGGCAGACTTCTTGAAAATTCCCAAATGCTTGTGATGTAGGAATCAATTTTATATTTTAAAATATACCTCCCAAGTTTTCATATTTATTAGATACCAAATATTTGCATCCCACTTAATATGATGCGATGTTTTTTTTTTGTCATATGGAATTCATGACCTTCTTTTGGTTCATCTTTTTCAGGTATGCTGCACCGGAGCAATACATCATGAGCACACAAACTCCATCTGCTCCCTCAGCTCCAGTTGCCACTGCTCTTTCCCCTGTCCTATGGCAGGTTCAATATCTACTCTGGATCACCTCAACTTCATTTTCATTAATTAGCTTCCCTTTCAGGGAAAATTAGGTTCTTTTTTGTTGGTTTTGTTAATGTTTTGTTGCTTGTTGAGCAGTTGAATTTGCCAGATAGATTTGATATCTACAGTGTTGGCCTCATATTCTTGCAAATGGTACGTATTGCTGAGCAGCATTAGTAAATACTTATTTACTGACTTAACATAGTAAAATTCATACACTCGCAGTATAGGTTATAATTTAGAAGTATTGCATTTTAGTAAGATGGTTACCACCTGGTAGTCCATTTTCTGCAACAGTAACACAGCTAATGTTTTGTAAGATAGTATAGCAGCACTATATCCATTTAGTGCTTTAAATCTGTAGGTTGTAAACTCTGGAAGTTTTCATTAAAATGCTATAGATTATTATGAAATGCTGGATGTGCTAAATTGGATTATGCAATTTTAAAAAATTAAAGTATTGGAACCTGATGAATTTTGAATCCTTAATTTCTGGTTCCTGAAGATTAGCTCTTAAAATTACAGATGACTTATGACATTCTTTAGAGTTATTTGATATTTCCAGATGTAAATTTCATAGATAATAATGCAGGGCTACGTGGACTAAACTCATCTGTGACAGCAGTTTTGCTGGAGTTTTCAGATTTAGCTCAGATCATAATGTTACTATTTTGTTCTTATAGGCATTCCCAACATTACGCACTGACAATAGCCTTGTCCAATTCAACCGTCAGCTAAAGAGATGTGATTATAATTTGAATGCATGGAGGAAAACTGTAGAGCCTCGTGCCAGCCCTGACCTCCGTAAGGGCTTTGTATTATTAGATTTAGATGGTGGCATAGGATGGGAACTTTTGACATCAATGGTTAGGTACAAAGCACGTCAAAGACTCAGTGCAAAAGCCGCTCTAGCTCATCCCTACTTTGATAGGGAAGGGTTACTAGCTTTGTCCATCATGCAGAGTTTGAGGTTGCAGCTCTTTCGAGCCACGCAGCAGGATTACAGTGAAGCTGCCCAGTGGATAATTCAGCGAATGGCAAAATCTGGAACCCAGAAGGAAGGCGGTTTCACAGAAGCTCAGCTTCAGGAACTAAGAGTCTGTGTCTGAACTACATTTAAATTTGGAAATCATATTTCTTTTTGAAGAATTGCAACTAGACAATCCTTTTTTTTTTTTTTTTTTTGATTGTGCAGGAAATGGAGCCAAAGAAGAAGGCAAGTCCTCAAAGAAATGCTCTTGCCGCAGCCCTTAAACTGCAGAGGAAGATTGTGAGAACATTGAATGAGAGTATGGATGAACTTAACCAGCGAAGGAAGAGTTTATGGTGGAGCAGGTGGATTCCCAGAGAAGAATGAAGAGTGTAAATACAGAAATAATTTTTTCCCCTGTTTTATGTAAATTTTGTGCATTAATTTTAACGGACTGTGATAGTGGAAATAGAATAATGACTTGGGATGGAAGAAATTAGCTGGTGTCTTACAGAAACATACCTGGAATTCTTTAAACGCACGTGCAAACTCCTTAAATAATATATTTACAGAATGTACTTAATGAAGTGAAACTGCCATGAAGCATTCTAGTTTTCCTACAGTTTGCAAGGTCTTCAAATGAAACTAGTGTGAGAATAATATGTAAATTTATTATATTATACAGTATATGTAGTATATATAAACTTAACTGATACTATTCTATTATTATGTTATGAATTTATTTTTATAAAATATATTCATGTATACCTCCCTATGTTAAATTCTTGTTTGTATTATTAACTAACATATACATTGAGCGGGTATAATATGCATTTAATTAACTGGCTGTAACCTTAATGTTGTTTACAACCAGCAGTGATCCTGCTGGCAATGGAGTTCAGTCAACGTTATAGACAATTTGATGTGATAATTTCGTACAACATTAACTTAACGCTGTTATCAAACAACTACAAGCAAGTTTCGTATTAAGCAAAGTTAATGGAAAATTAATTTGCATGATTACGTGTGAAATAAGACAACTGGGTTGTTTAGTAGTTCCATTTGAGTGATTGAAGAGTTGATTAATTAATTAAACTTGTAATTATTGAGGGGAAAGTGATAGAAACACAGCATGTGGGAAGGGAGTTACTTAATAAAGAACCACGAAGAAGTATGGTGATGGAGTACTAACTGATTATTTAAGTGATATAAGATAAGAAAATATATAATGTTGAGTCTATCGGAGGCAATGGCATTGTTAATCACGAGAACTTCACGTGCAACTCTGACCTTTCTTGTTCAGTGTTCAGTACAACAAAGCCATTTTTATAAACATGCAGATGCAGTACAACAAACCCAACATGAGAAACTTGAATTCAAGCCTGTAACACGTTGATTATAGCGCAATTCGTAGATCAATATTATTATTGTCTCCAGCTTTTTTGAATTCCCAAAGTTTTTTGGGTGTTTATCACTCCATGATAATATTACTTATTCTGCATGGAACCACGAAGCAACTACGATATATATTTTTCAAACTGGTCTCTCTTTTCAATTTGGAAGAGGAAGAAATTTCATGGAAACATATACAAAAAAATTTTAATTATATAAGCTGGACGCATATATATATATATATAATAATAAAATTATATTATCAATTATGGTGATGATAATAAATGCTTATATCATATGATCTTATAAAACAAATAAATAATATTGTATGTTTTATCTTAATTAATCAAGACATATATAGTTCTACACTACATATAAACCTAGGGAATTGTTGGTCTACCTGCCTGTGGAAACATCCTGATTTTAACTTTTTCTTTTTTTATTTTTTATTTTCTTTCGTTGGCCGACATTGTAGAATATAACCCTGAAACTGATGAACTTGTTATTCGAAAATTAACATTTGGTCCGTAATAATAATTAATAAACACCCAATTGTCTTAATCAACGAGCTGTTTAATACCGATTACTTTGCCTAAAAGAGTGCGAAAATGAAAATTCCCAACTGAGCTTTGACCTTAAAGATGGCAGGTGATATTTTGGTTCTTTGCTCAGGATTTACCCATCCTCATATACACAAAATGAAACTATATTTAACACATTATTCTTTGTCTTTTTAGAAGCTGTAATCTTTCTTTGATCATCTATATCAAATCTCAATCTTTTGAGTCGCATAATCAAAGTACATATATAAACAATTTGGTGTAGTATCTTAATATCTTGTCTACAGTTAAAAAAAATCGACGGATGACCGATGACCAGTAAGGGCAACAAATTAAAGGTATTGCTTATGAGCTCCTGAATGAGATTGACAACTTGAACCCATTTTTTTTTATTTCTTTCTTCAAAGAAGAATACTACAAGAGAGTGATGATAAAATAGTTTATTGGAATCATATTGGTGTTAATATATAAGTTAAATGGGGGAAGCACGAGATCAAGCAAGTGGTGCTTTTTGTTTTTGATGAAGTATGATTTTAATTATCTTTCTTTAATCAATCCTTGGTGGGGTTTTGAGCCATTAATTAATTTTCTTAAGCTTATTGTTAATGCTGCAATATATATATATATATATAAGAATGGAATCTTGGTCATAACCTTGAAATTTCACCATCTTTTTAGTTTTTAATCACAGTGTAGGAATTGGCGAGTCTTGGGAACACTTTGTGTTGTCTTTTTCATGTTTTTCATGGCGGAAGTGACGTTCAACTCCTGCAACAAGCTAAAATTTGAAGGTTTTCAACTCGATCCTAACTTTAATATATAAGAATTGTGCGAGTATATGCAAATTATATATGCTTGATGATCACTCTTATATATTTCTTTTATCTCTCAACACACTAATAAATGTGACCACCCTGTCAAATGTTTCTTTCAAATTTCAACTTACGTTAAGCCAGATGTAAATTAGATTCAAATTCCTGGCAGATCTCAAGAATTACATTGTCGGTGGGATCTTATTCCCATCTTGTCTGCTCCCCAGTTTACACTGTAATATATGGTTTAGCTTCATTAATTCTCAACCTACAACAATACAATGTGCGTTCAAACTCACTACCCATTACATTCAGATATTTGATATTCAAGAGTATCATTATGTCTTGCGATTTTAATCCTTGTTTATTTAAGTTTAACCCACGTTAAATATTTCTTAGGGATATGACTAGACAAGAGATCAGAATCTTGCATATATGAAATATGTTACATCATCCATACGTATGTTCATCTGATATGTAGTTAAAAGAAATAATTGTGAAATATAATTCAGCAATATTCCTGAAATATATATTACAATTAATGAGATATTTTTTTTGACATCTTATTCATGGACATGGACATAAAGCCAAAGCCTCCTAATTCTCTTTGCTATTAATAAGAAGTCAGTCTCAACAAAACTTTTATTGCTTTCTTTCTCATTCGAAATGATGAATGCAAGTTTTTTTCTTTTGTCATTAACTAAACCAAGAAACAAATTCAAGAGTTAATCCTAAGCGATGGGTCTGGTGGTCAAGAAAGTTTATTCTCTTTATTGACTTTTTGGGTTTAAACTATCGTGGGATCGCCTATTACATTTGTAACTTACCTAAAACATTAGATTTTTAAGATGGGTCTGGTGGTCAAGAAAGTTTATTCTCTTTATTGACTTTTTGGGTTCAAACTATCGTGGTATCGCCTATTACATTTGTAACTTACCTAAAATATTAGATTTTTAAGATGTTTAATAAGTCTCGATGATTAGTTGAGGTACACACAAACTGACACAAATATCCCGATTATATAAAAAAAACAAATCAAGGGGTTAAAATATAATTTTTTGTATAACGTCAAAAAGGAAAATACAAATTCATACCGAAATCCGAGTCATTTTGCAATTGATAGGCATGTCCCCACTTGGATGATGTTGCATTAGAGTCAACATGATAAGATTAGGTCATTATAACCTTAAATTAATAAAGAATATGCTCATTAATATGCATTGTTATGTAGGATTCAACTGAAAAAGCCTATTGCCTAATTACGTGGATAAGTTTATACATATAGTGAAGAGAATTAAAATCTCATCATCAAAGTATAATAACCTCATCACCAAAAGAAATTGAAAGGTAGCCCACAAACTATGGTCATTGGCTACCTTATTGAAGCAATGGCCGACCCATTGTTCTGGTTGTTGACGGCTACATGAGATATGCTATAGAGTATGTATCATGTATGACATGGCCATTAGAGAAAGAGAGAGAGATAAAGAAAAGTTTTTTCGTTTGGATTTGTTTTGTTATCAAATTGGTGTTGGGTTTATGCATGGATTCCCAACTGAGCGTAGGGTCCATATGGTGTTGAATGGTGGGTTAGGGGGCAGTCGCACGCCCTTTCATGCCCCATCGATGGCTCTTTGTTAGACCAATTTGAGCCTGGACCACGCCCTCTTCTTACTATAAGAACCCCCCTTCACACTCCCACATCATTTCAAACTAAAGCAACTTATTTTTACCAACTTAAAAACCAGTTTTTTTCTCTCTCTTTCTCTCTTCTAAGCTAAAGAAAGAAGATGAAGATGAGCAGTGCTACCATGGGAGCTTCAAAGAGAAGGTTCTCAAGCAGAGGGCTAGGAGGTGTCCTTAGAGAGCAAAGGGCTAAGCTTTACATTATTAGGAGATGTGTGGTCATGCTTCTTTGTTGGCATGATTAATTAACTTCTCCTCTTAGCCATAGCAATGGTGAAGAAAATGAGGATTTCTTTCTCTTCTCTTTTTTCCTCTTTTCTTTTGGTGGATTGTAAATAGAAGCGGCCGATAATTAATATAGATATCGGAGAGTACTTCAACAATTTTTGTACCAGTTGGCCTTGTGGGCTATATATATAAACTAGATAGCTTTGAATTAAAACTTTGATATATATGTATGGTTGCTGATGTTCTTTATTCTTTTTAACTCATCATCTTTTCTTGTAATCATTTTTCTCTCATGGGAATCAGTATTCATTGATGGTTGCCTAGAAAAGCAAAAGCTTGACCATGAAATTTCTCTATAAACTTCTCTTCACCCTTCGATTTGTGATTATATATATATGGCTCTTAAACCATCCCTGCACTTACATCTAATTGCAGAGCCATCATTAATAATGGGTTAAAAGCCTTCATCAGAAGGTCAAAACAACTTCTACTTTCATCTTCTACACCCACGGTATCTGAGTATTATACAAGAAGTAATCTGCAGATTCTTTTGCTTCAAATAAGATTTAATGGGTTAATTCATGAGCAGAATGTTAATAATCACTTTTAATATAAATTTCTATGGACTGTATTTTTTTCTTCCTTAAACAAAATTTAGTTGGATTCTGAAGTCACGAGCTTCTTAACTTTACGCAGAAAGCAAATGCCTTTAGATTAAAGGAATTGAATAGAGAAATAGTTAAGATATTAAATTTTGTGCCCCTTTGAATAACCTTTGACCAAATAGCGACAAGTTGTTTATGTTCCAGTTAAAAAGTTAGTGGGTGCTAATAGGGAGTTGCATGGCATTAAGTAGCTTTAGATGGGTTCAGACTTCAGATAAGGTTAATGGGCCCAGATATCCACGTCATGGACTATCATTAGGCCCATTAATCATTTGAAGTGACAATTAGGTGTAATTAAAAATTAATCGTACTTTCAAACTATTTATCTTCCAATTATAGAGTAAACCAATTTTTCCCACCTAAATAATGGTTTAATGTTACATTTTTATCCACAAACTTTTAAAATATTATTTTATTAATCAAATCTATACTCTATTTCTGATTTCAACATCGTTACGACCCCACACTATCACCATTCTCTTCTTCGATCATCACTCACCAAAACCCTTCAAATCGTACTCCCGTCGACCTGTCAATTGTTAGCAATCGAGCGATTAGGATTTATATGACCACCCATCCAAAATCAAATTCTGATCAATCTCAACCACCAAAATCTAATATTTCACTATCAAAAAACTCATCGGCTTTTCTTCTTCAAAAATCTTAATAGTCTAGATCAAATTTACTTTTTATTCATTATTAGAATATAAATTTAGATAATAAAATAGTATTTTAAAAATCTGTGGATGGAAAAATATCATTAAACCGTTATTTGGGTAGGAAAATTCGTTAACTCTCCAATTATATCCAACTTTTTGCAGCACAACGTCCAAAACACTAAATTTTTATCATAATCATAATTAGATATGTGGGTGGTCTTATTGCTAAAACCTGTTTCCACTTTATTGAAATATCTGTTTTGTTCGTTTATAGTCTTGAGAAACACATAATTAATTAAATAGAGATTCGTTAATCAGTCTTGATTATCATAAATTTGGTTTGATTTTCCTGTCCTCAACTAAACGGCATTTCCAAATATTTTAAATGATTTTTGTTCAAGAGCATCCAAACACGGCCTTGGGTTTGTGGATTAAAATTTAGTTGTATGTGTTGATGTGTCATAGTGGTCAAAACTCCATTTGTGGGCCTGTTGAATTATTGGTTTACAGCCAATGAATTCACGTGTGCCACGTGTACGGTTAAGATGGTCCTTGTGTTTGCGTTTCAATCGTGTTCTTTCTTTTGTCTTGAAGGCTATTTGTAATATAATGATAAAACAGAAGAGGTGACCGAGCAGGGACAGTGACTTGTTTTTCGTAGGCGATGGAGTCCGAATAGAATGTTTTTTGGTGTACCAAAAATGTTGAGAGACGCACATTATGTGGTTGACACGTGCATTTAAGAACATCGTAAATGATTAATAAAAGAAAATAATAGGAGTACTAAATTACAAGGGTATTGGAAATTTTACGCAAGTTTATTTAGTGGTGCATATGGTAGTTTTAAGTAGTAGTTATAGAATAATGTTGAAATAATTAAAATGGAAGAGTGGGGTCAGAATAGCGTGAGAAGATGAGGAAATAAAATGTAGAGATAATATATTGTTGTCGGCCACGTCGGATTAGGAATAGCCGACAAGTGATAGGTCAAATAGCAGGCTTTACCAAGCCCACGTGCGCCCTCTTAATTCGCAACCCCACCACCATCACATATGTCACTGTCTTTTTCAACCCTCTCATTTCTCTCCCCCCTTTTTTTTATTAACTATTTTTTGCCCCTCCTTGTATTCTTGAAAAATTACATAGAGTGAACAACATTTTCTCGCCCAGGGTTTCGTGAATCTCCAGTTTCTCACCAATTGTTTCATAAATTCCACATTCTCACCCTTAAATTATTTTTTTTAACAATTAAATGTAAAAATTTCAAAATAACCCTTCACATCTCAAAATTCTCTCACAAACACCCTTTCTTTAAAACTACTACTCTTCCACCACTTCTCTCTCTCTCCCTCAGCAACAACCTTCCATTTCTTTCCCTAACTAGCAGCCACGCTCCTCTCTCCCTCCCTAACCCACAGTCACCAACCCTCTCACAGCCGCCGGCCACCACAGCCTAATCAACTCCCCCAAGGTGTTGATGTTTGGCAGCCCATTACGGCCAAGAGGTGGCCAAATTGTGGCTGCCCGATCTGGCCGACCACAAAGCCAGATTGGGCCGTCACGATTTTTCCATTGTTGCTCCAAATCGTGCCGCCCCGATCTAGAGCAGTGGCGGCTAGATTGTGGCCCGATCTAGCCACTGCTTTAAATAAATTCAATAGAGTTTGTTGGGATTGCTGGTGATGTGTTGTTTTGATTGTTGGTGATGAAGTTTGTTGAGATTCAAAGAAAATTTAGAGGGTTGGGTGGGTTTGGATTGAAGAGGGTGTTGGTGAATGAATTAGAGATGTATAGGGTTTTCATAAAATTTTATTAATTTGACTGGATGGTAATAGTGGTTAGGTGGCGGCAGTGGTTAGGTGGTGGTGGCCGTGGTAGTGATTGGGTGGTTGGAGATGGCCGGATGGGGATGATGTGAAGGTTGAAAAAGAGGATATTATTAAAATAAATTTGAAAGAAAGGTGGTTCTTTTTCTAATTCTGCTAGTTTAGGGGTTAAAAAATTAATTTATTAATTTATTTGTCCAAAGCAATATGATAATAGCACTCTCTATCTCAAAACTTAACAGTAACTGACACTGCAAATTTAAGGACGAAATCCAGAATTTATGAAACCATGGGTGAGAACTAGGAGATTTACGAAGCCTTGGGTGGAAAAATGTCCTTTACTTAATCACATATTTGTCTCTAGGGTTTGGCCTAAATACCCCTCAATTCAGAAAAGATTTTTAGTAACAATCTCATTCCTAAATGGATGGTTCATTCAATTAATGATGTGGGATGTAATACAAAATTTTATAAATGATTTATCTTTTATGAAACAAGTGTAATAAAGATTTTGGTTTAAAACTGAAAATAAAGAGAGAAAATAAAAAGTTTATGCAACCAGAGAAAAAGGCAGATAATATGCATAACACATTCTTTATCTTCTTCCTTTCGATGCGTAAGTATTTTATGAAAAGAAAAATCCAAGAAATGTTTGCCATTGAAAAGTTGAAAACAGATATACCCTTCAAATTCTTTGGATTTTGTTAGTAGAGATCAAAGCTTATTTTCATTTTTCTTTCTAAAATGTTTTCGTATTTGTTAATTTTGTGTAATTTGTGTTTTGTTTTAATATTGAAAAAAAAAAAAGTTGGTTACATGAGATTGAAAAGAAAAGAAGGGTTCTATATACTTTTTACAGTCAACTAACAGGGAGGACATTGTTAGTGAGAACTTCTTTTGGATGAATGTTAAAACTTTCTCACATAATCCATCCACCACCACCTTAGCATTACTACCTTCTTATTCTTCTAAACTACAGATAGCAAATTGTTCCGGACCGTGAATTTCTTCGATGATCCATTTGAACGAGATGGTTCTCACTAGAGAAAAGTTTTTGAGTTTTAATTATTTTCAATAGTTGGTAAGAAAATTAAAGAGGGTTATTATATATACAAAATCTAATGTCGGGTAGTTGCAAAGCTGGTTTGATGCTGATTTTGAAGACTATAGCAGTTATATACAAATAAATTTTGATGTTTTGGAGACAATACTAAGTGGTTGGCAGTTATGGTTAGGTAGTAAAACATGTTCTTAATTGGGTTAGTAACAATATTAAAGCTTTGGATTATATATGCAGGCATACTGTGAAAGATTTGGGCTACCCACATATTAGATTAAGATTCGGTATTCTTGTTAGCCGACCACATTTTTGTTTTAAATTTAGATTTATTAAACTAATATGTTCTGAAAAATTCTTTATTTATACACTTTTTTGTTCGAATTATATAAAAATACAAATATCCAATATTATCAAAATTGTACATATGTGCAGAATGAATGAAACTGGCCAGACCTGGAGAAACAAGCTTCATGCCAAAATTCCGCCATCCCATTGGCTGTTGTCTCATCTTCAATTCACTCTGAACATGGAACCAACGGACCATAGCACTAAATCCTTTTACAACGAATACTGGCCAGTTTTCTGGTTTTTCCATGGAAGATTTGTGTTGACATCGAATGAAGGAGTACCCTACTCTTTATACCCTTCAACGTGCCAGCAAGTTGACTACAAGATGTCTAACCCATCTTCCCCCCAACCAATCATATATTCATATGTCCTGAACAAGCCAGCATGCCCTGGGACCTCTTTATGCCTAGAAGACCCTTTGTGTATTCTGTCATTTTCAAGCCAACTTGTATGATCTGTAAGTCCTTTACAGGTTCATGAATGTTTCAATTTTTCTAAGCTCTGCTGATCTTGATTCGTTCCATTTATGTTTCTTCAAATTCAACACAACACGAGTTCTGCCAATGACTAGAAGCCCCACATCGAAATTTAGTTCGCCATTAAATTCTATTCTAATACTCTCTAAGAAAACTAGAATTATCTGAAATGGTAACTAGTTGATTTAATTTATACAAACGGGTGTGTCATAATATTAACCGAATTTCAAACTATTTTGAAAAAGTTTAATACTTCTAAAAAAAATTGCGATTCTAGCCTCACACTGACATGCAGTCCAGCATCCTAGATTCTC